CTCCTCCCCTGCTCTCCTCCCTCCTCCCCTGCTCTCCTCCCCTGCCCTCCTCCCTCCTCCGCTCTCAGCCTGCCCCACAGCACAGCCAAGTGCCCTCCTGCTTCCTGGTCTCCAGGGCCAAAAGTGACTGTTCCTTTCCCCGGTGCCTCCTGTTGAAGTTAGTGATTTTCAAAGCAGCAGCCACCTTCCAGGCTTAACCAAAGTTTCTCACAAGGTCTGAACATTGTGCCCCTTTCTAGCCACTGTCCTGCCCGGGGTCCAGCCAGAACGAGCCTCAGTGCCCTGCTCACTCCCTGCCAATGGCTGAGCTACAGTCTTAGCTGACAGATACACTTTTAACTTTTTTTTTTTTAAAGATTTATTTATTTATTCATACAGAACTGGGGTATAGACCAGAGATGCGGAGGGTGAGAGGATTCACCAGGGACAGAGTGGGGAGCAGGACAGGCAGATAGACAAAGTACACTGCTGAGGGGAGCAGCGGGCAGGTCAGGAGAGGTCTGCCGCGCCATGTGGTCACCTCCGGGGCAGGCGAGGATCGAACTCATGCGGAAGTGGCTTTGGCTTCTTAGTGCAGTGCTTTAACCCGCTGCGCCACCAGGGAGGGCCCTACATTTTTAACTTTAATCCTCAAAAACTTCCTACAAGGCTGCTCTGACTTTCACAGTTGGAGTAATGAGGGTTAGAAGGCCTTGGGAGCTGACTGAGGGCCTGATTCATGGTCTATTCTGATGCCTCAGAGCCAGTTTATCACCCTGGGGGCGGGGTGGGGTGGCACGAAAGCAGGTTGGGAAACTGAGGCCCAGAGAGAAGAGTACTCTGCTTGGAGCCTGGGCTGGGCCTGGCACAACTGCAAAAGGAACACGATGCCCAGGGCAATCGATGCCTCTAAACACCCAGGGTCATCATACCCCCACCCCTTTGCCTCTGCTGCTGTCACTGGGCAAAAGGCAAAGAGCTGTGGGGATCTGCTGACGTGGGTGCCCAGCTTGGAGGGCAGTCATCTGGGTGGGGCCACTCCCTGGGGCCCTGGGACTTCTGGGAAGGCCTGTCTGCCTGCCAGGAGGCCCACAGGTCTTGGGTCTCCTTCCTCTCCAGCCCACACCCCCACCCCCCGCAGTGAGCCCCCTGTGTCAATGATACACACAGAGGCTGCTCTCCATGGCCAAGTCCCCGAGGGCCTTCACAGTACTTGCTAGACTACCCGGCCAGGACTGATGGCGACCACATTCACCTCCGTGCACTGATGGGCCTGTCCCACCCCCCTGCCTTCCATGAGTTTACCATGGACTCAAGGCCTTAGCGATCAGATGGCCCGGTCCCTATATTGTGCAGCTGAGGAAAAGGTGGCCCAGAGAGGGAAAGTGGCCTGTTGAGATCACACAGCTGGTGACTGACAATGCCACGTCTTGGCATCTCAGCCAGCCCAAGGCTACTTGAATCTTAAAGCTCAGGGAGGTCTGGGTACAGTTGCTTGGGGTGCGTGAGGCTGTGTCACCCTTTGCTAGGGGTCTGGCATGCAGAGCTGTTGCACCACTGTGCCTGGCCCATCTGCGGCCCAGCAGGATGAGGACAGACTGTGCCCACCAGCATGTTCTACGCTCAGTGCTCTGTCCTCTGGCGCAGTATGACCAAGGTTGATCTGTTCATTCAACCAGGGCTGGGCAGCTTCTGCATCCGAGCAGCCTGCTAAGAAATGGCCCTGGAAGCTCAGATTCACCTGCGAAAGCCAGGTGACTGGATATAAAAATGA